TTTTTTTAATTCTTCTCCCTCTGTGCTCTCAGAATATTTTTGAGAGAACCCCACAAAAGCTAAGCTACTCAGTCTTTCAGCCAACTGGAGAAAGGTGTATGGAATTTACAGAAAGGAATAAAATACCTTCTTAACAATTTTTTAATTCTTAAATAGTTGTATAAGTACCTATACAGTTACTCAGTTTTTCAGAGTGGTCTCTGATGTGTTAAGAAAACTTAATATCATCTGAGTTTTATGTAGTTATAAGGAAGAAAAGATTGAGTTGATATCTTCCCAAAAGAGCTATTGATACAGTTACTGATGAATCTTTGTAATACTCTGTAGTGTGAAATAGCTATACGTTTGCACTGACTTCAAATTACTCTGCCTGAGAAAAGTGCCTTCTTTTTTTAAAAAAGTAAACATCTTTATGACTTCAAACTGTATTTTAAGTTCCTAATTTCAAATTTGTCAGTTTACTTAAATATTTTCAAGAAAAGGCCTATTCTAACCAAAAAATACTGGAATTAATTTGTTAAATGAATTTTAAAGACTTGCCCTTCCTTATTCCGAAGTTGTGTTAGAGCATACTTAGTTTAACAGGCTAAGTGCCTGGACATGTCTGAAATAGTTTTGAGGCTAGGGCAACATATCTTAGGAGTAAAAGGTCATGATCTTCAATCTTTAGAAGGTTTCTAGAAATAAGGAAAAAAGGAAAGCCTCTTGGCAAAGTAGTAACAATTAAAATAAAACAGTCCAACCTTTCACCAATATGATTTCAAAATCATGCTATGACAGGAATCCACACCATAGCACCTTTTTACTAACAGTCTATTTTCTGTAAAAATAACAAAGTCACTTTACTTTTCTGGAGGTACGAGCAAGATAAATAAGGTCTGTCTTGCCATGAGCGCACACTCTGACTTTTTTGATCGCTCAGAATCCTTGCTTTCAAGCCCTGCTTCCTCTACTGAATTAGTCCTCCAATTGCTTAAGGGTTTGAGATGGGGACAAAAAAATAAGATTTGAGTGAGGCTTCTGTATACTTCCCAGTGTGTTTACAAGCTTTGACTGAATAGGAACAACGTGGTAGCTTACCCTGGGCTTCCTTTGGTGTTACTAACAACATGCATCCAAATAGGCTGCTCATATGGCTATATCTAAACCTTAGTAGGAAAAAAGATATGGTGGTCATCAATCTTGTTCTGCATTTGTATTTGCCATTGGTGTAACAATCTTAAGATACAAATACATTTGCAGAGATTAAAACATAAGCTGTCATTACAGCAGATTGTTAATTTAAATGCATATTAACATTTACCTTTTGAAGTTAACTGTTTGGTTGCTGATCTCAGCTCCTTCAGGATAATCATACTAAGATGCGGACTATCTGCCATACATGACAGGTAATCTTTCTGTTGTGACTAGATGGTGTTTAGGAAAGGACAGCAGTCACTGCCTCTAACATAACTGCAGAGCATTAAAACTAACTTCTCGCTTGTAACCAAAGTTATTCACAGCTTAGGATTTTGTATCTAAATACCCACACAAGCCCATTCAACAGCAAGCGGATTTATTCTATGATACTAAGTTTGGTTCCATTATTGCTAAAGCAGCTGCTGTAATCTCTGCTAGGGACTGACAGAAATATTCCTCCCAATACTGCTATTTTTTCCTCCAAGATCTTTTCAAACATGAGGAAAAAGATAAGATCCTGAAATGTCAAGAGCCAGTCATATTTATGCATCTTAATATGTCCCTGAAGATGCAGCTAAACCGTGTTGGTGGGGAAGGCTCAGCAAAGTATGATCATGTTTTGAACAGAAGTTGGCACTTCATTTTGTGAAAATGGACAGGATTTATCCCTTGGGTGGAGCTGATTCTTTCAAACATCTGAAGGGAGGCTGCTTTCTTCTAGTACAAATATTAATAGCACTGACCTCCAATTGCTTGCTGCTTTGAGATTTGCAGCTGTTCAAGTATCCTCCTTTTCATCTGGATTTTATGATAGGGTGGGGGAAAGTATTTCAATAACCTCTGAAACAGTCTTTACTATAAATGTGTTTATCTTGCTTTGCAGCTGGTCTAATAAGTTTGCTTTACAAGAAAGTTAATGAAAAAGTGTAATTTTAATATTGGGCATCCTTGTTTTAAGTAATGCTACTGATGGCTCTGCTGCCTGCTGGAATTAATACATATAACTGTTAGAGAAATTCAGCTTTCAAATGTGTTGCTATAATTATTTTAAATTAAGCCCCTTTGAAACAGTGTCTACATGGTATACAAATGTCATAACTGCCTGTTAGTACAAGAATAATCTCTATACTGAAACTATCCTCAGTCAAATGGAATGTACAAAGAGACACTGCCCACTTAAGTAGTCCTATTACAAATCAAGTTTAGTTATAAGCCTATACCAAATTTCCCAGCATCACCTTGCATGATTCTGATTATGAAGGTAATGCATTACAGTCAGTACTTCCACAAATTATAAGATCAGCACCTCTTGGCTGGCTTCGTTCAGGTTTTTGAACGCTTCATTGTAAGTGGCTTTGCCTATGTTTAACGCTGCTGCAGTTGTCAACTGGATTGTTTTTCTGAACAGAAACTTGCCATGTCATTGTACATGTCCATGCTGATAGGTAAGATATTAGTACCATGCTCTGATAAAAGCAATAAACCTCTAGCCAATGTCAAAGAAATACACAAGGAAAAGGCAGTAAGCAAATTCTTGGTAACTCCTTGGATAATGAGCACCTCAGAGAGAAGTGTTTGGAAATATCTACTATGTAATGGATGTTTCCATTAAAAAGCACAAGTATTAATGAAACAAATTATTTGTATGCTGTTGATATTTCTAGATTCCAGTATTCCAGGACTTACTAACTGAAAATTGGATCAGTTAAACTTATGCCACCACTCAAATTGAGGATTCTGGGATTTCCTCTGTAAGAAAGGGAGATCTTGTTAACCCTAAAAGTAACAGAAGAATATAGCTTATTTTCTTAAATTATGTCAGGCCTCATTTCAAGGGGAGAGAACTTTTAGGAGGCAGGAGGTGAAAATATGTTGTGGTCATAGAGAACTAAGAAGGATTATCTACTGCTTTATCTGCAAAGCCTCTGTTCTCATGATTTAATTCTTTCTATTTTATGGAAAACAAGATTTTTCTATGGTGGCAGTCAGTGATGGATGCATTATCTTGCATGCTTTCAGCAAGTGAAAGTTTGTCTTCTTATTGCTAATGAAGAAACTTAAAAACATGAGGAGAGCAAAATCACTTAAACATTTATATAATACTTCATACTGCATATGCACCCTTTTTAGATGTCTTCCACATACTCTGAATTATTGAACTGATGCTTGGAAGTCTTGTTTTAATTCTGGGTTATTTTTACATGCCTTTTTCAGATATTAAAAAACGAAAGTCCCTACAGATTCTTAGTTGCAGTTTCCTACAGCTTTGACAGCAGTGCAGACTTAAGATTTATGTAAACAATGTGCTTGCACAGTTAAAAAACCATAAGCATTTCTAAAATATACTCTATACAAATACTTCTTCTTTATATGATTCATTGATTCTGAAATAAAAGGCTGATTTTGTGTAATGCAGTTAAATCAGTCAGTGGAAAGAAAATATATTTAATACTGCTTTAAGAAGAGTAGTAAAGGTGCCAATAAATGCATCTCCTTTGTTTTGAGAATGAAATGGATGTAGAGATTGTATGTATTTTAGCTAGGTTCTTACACTAAGTATTGTAGAGCTGTATTTTAACTGCTTAATAGCGCTCTCTACAAATATAAATATAAATGTTGGTAGTACCAAACCATTAAGAATAAAACTTGTTTGTGCTGAACTACATCCATCTTTCTCTACGCTAAAAATGTAACTGAATGATAAAGTGCTATTCATTTGCAGGTGCATTGCTTCTACTTAAGGGACTATGGTTGAAAGGACAGGAATTAGTAGCATGTTGTATTAGCCTTTTGTAGTGTATTTTGTTCTAAGCATCTTAATTTCCCTGTTTTGAATGCTAAGTAGCAAGGGTCTTGGTTTTGAACTAATACCCATCATGCATGTAAACGGTGTGAAAGAGCTGCTTAGTAAGTTAACACAAAGTGTTCTTGTGTCAGTCCTTGTGGAAATAGATACAATACAAACATTACAGCTGAACTCACGGCAAACTCCATTAAGTAAAAACCTGGATTCATTGTCCAGAGGAAAGTTTGAATTGAATGTAAGCTCATTTTGTTGAATGTAATGTCAGGCTTTTAGGGGTTGTATTGAGGAGTACGGTTTTGTTAAGTTGAGACCAATTCATTAAGTTTTATTGCCTGGTGAGAAGCAGTAATACGTTATTGTGAAACTTCATCAAATATTCATGGTTAAAAAGAAGTAGTAAATGTATTCAATCAAGTGGTCTTTTTGGGGTCTGAAAAGGATTATGAAGTCTGCTCAGCTGATAGTCTCTAACTTTCACTTTGGTCATCTGAAAAGAGTAATTCATCTCTGAATTTAATTTTGGTGTCAGAATATTTCTTCCCTGGTATGTTAGACTACAGGTCAGATGTGCTGACAGTATCCTTGAATTATATTTTTATTATTTTGTGTCAAACTTTGTTTTCAAAATGTTTGTTGATTTGAATGTGGGATGTTGTCTTCTGAGTTTGTAATGTGTTTTGCAGCTGATCCTATAGGCAGGCATTTCAAGCAGGGAGACATAAGAATGCAAGTGTGTGCTAGCTGTCACTTTCCTGTTTGGGAGCTACCATTTTTGGCCTTTGTCCCTCTTCCTCTGCTTAGTTCTGCACCACCTAATACATAGCTCTTGTAAGCTGCTTGTTTGGGAACCTGAGTTCCACAAGAAACTGTAGCGTAGTCTTGGAGAATTGCTGGCTGGAAGGTCTTAGCTTCTGAGCATGCTTCACTTTCAGAATAGCTATCAACACTCTTAGGTTTTACTTGGACAAATGTAACAATCTTTATAAACGTAAAAACGTTCATGAACTTATGCTGTAACTACGAGCTTTTTGATGCTTACAGTGGTTGGATTGTGACCTTTCTGAATCTTGTCAGTGCAGCTTTACTTGCTGCAAAGTCCCTACTGAACAACAGGAAGGCTTTTTTTTTTTTTTTTATTACTGTTAGGCCATAGTCCCTCTTTTACATTTGTTTCATATAGCACAATAGTGACATCGGTGCTGTCTTTTCCTAATATTCCACTGATCCTGCCTCCTTTTATAATCTTCAGGCAGATGATGTTGAAAGTAAAATTAGAGAAATCATTCCTCCTGGTTTTTGCACAAACACAGATGACTTTGTGTCTCTGCTGGAGAAGGAGGTCAACTTCAAGCCCTTTGGAATGCTGCTACACACGTATTCTGTCCATAACGAGGAGGCTGGTGAAGATATAACATATCAGATATACAAGGTATGGAAAAATAAGTGAAAATTCTGCTTTTAAGCAACCAAATTAAAGTTTATTTTGCAGTGATGCACTTTCAGTAATGTTTCAACTGTAGTATATAAATACCATAATTTTACCAGTTATTAATAATTATAAACATGCTTTTTTGTGTTGGAGAATTTAATTAGGTTTTGCATATTTTTTTGTCCTCTTACATCTGTGATAGGTTTCACCTGACTTCTCCTGGCTTTTTCCCTAGGCCGACATGACATGTCCAGGCTTTCGAGAATATCATGAAAGGCTTCAGACGTTCTTGATGTGGTTTATTGAAACTGCTAGCTTTATTGATGTAGATGATGAAAGATGGAACTACTTTCTAGTGTAAGTACAGTTCTAAAGCAACAGTGGACCTTATTACCTCCACAAAGCCTGCATTTTAATTATGGCTGGCCAATTATTGCAGCAGTACAATGATATTTTTCCCAGGAAAGAAAAACCATTGTTTATGAGGCTTGAGTTTTCCTCCATTATGCTTTGGGAAACCTTGAGAATAGAGCTGAATTAAATGCTGTTGTCCGTTAGAGCCCTGAATGTAGGCTTAAACAGTAAAATGAGCTTTGCCTGTGTTTTCTTTTACTTGCCACCTATTCATCTTTATAATAGGCAAGTGCACTGAAGTGCTGTAAAGAGGCCTGATTTATCCAAGTTGCTGCACACCAATTAAGTGAATTGTACATTCAGAACATAGCAGGTGTACCCATTGGGCCCTCACAGAGTAGCTTGCTGACACTGAAAATTCAGTTGGAGAATGGAAAAGAAAATGGACACTGCATGGGAGCGCGACTGTAATTGACCTGCTTGGCTTTCTGTTTTATCTGCAGATTTGAGAAGTATAATAAGGATGGAGCTACGCTCTTTGCGACCGTAGGCTACATGACAGTCTATAATTACTATGTGTACCCAGACAAAACCCGGCCACGTGTAAGGTAATTGGCGGCGTAACTCGTGCCTTGCCTTTTATTTCAGAAGAGGGAACTGCTGAAGTTCCCAATACTTGTTTATAATGGTGTTGATTTGTTTAAAAAAATCCCCATTATTGGCTGGCTATGCACTGATTTATTTCATTGTTCCCTTCTTGAAGCGGAGGGAATCTCAAACAAGTTTTGAATATTTAGCAATTTTAAGACTGTTTAAAATTATACTTTAGCATGAAGATTGCTACACATACTTTAATCTAAAATGAAATAGCATTTCGTTTTTAAGCCTTGACATTATAATGTTTGCAAATGAACTGAAAATTCATTTGAACTGAAAAATACATTCCTTTGTCTGTAGCCAGATGCTGATCTTGCCACCATTCCAAGGAGAAGGCCATGGTGCTCAGCTTCTTGAAACAGTTCATAGATACTATATGTCATCTTCTGCAGTACTTGATATAACAGGTTTGTGTTAAATTTTTAACTCTTCACCTGTTTAATAACCAACTTGTAGTATTCACATGTGGTTAGCCTGCAAACTAACTTTCATGTTCGTTTGTCAGAATTAAATGGCCTTTTGAAGATTTAGCTTCAGCTCAGTTCAGGATTAATAGTACCCTGGTTTATAGAAGAACTGTATATAATGTAGCTCCTTAAATCCTTTACTTAGAGAACAGCACACCAGGAAAATTCAATCCCTAGCATGAACGGATTACCAGCTAATTAGCCATTTTATTGTGAGATACACAGCTGAGTTTGCCAAGAGATCAAGCTTTGTCAAATTCCTTGTTCAACTTACTCCTATTAGCCAAAACTGAAAATTGGGGGGGGGGGGGGAAGAAGGCAAACTAAAATAGCATATTAATATTTGTGTGCAAGCCAAATTTTACAGACAGTAAAAATCTGTAGAGAATTTGTGCTACAGGAGCATGTATTGCAGCTGAAGGCACCCATGATGTTAGAGGTGTGTGCACAAATACCTAAAAATAAAAAATTGCGGAGATGGCAGGTGGGGGGGAAAAGGGTGTATGTGCATAAAAAAAAAAAATGTAGTGTAAAAAAATAGCTACAAACGTGACATCTGTCCTGTGGTTTTAAGTCCAATACAAGAAGAAATGCAGTTCAAACACATGATGCAACCATTCAATTCTAGGTGCTATCTCAGACCTCATCTTAGTTAGGAATAACTCCCCCATTCTAATGAAAATACAATAAAACACTTGCTTTCATAATGCATTGCTGCAGAATAATCCTAATAAAATAATCCACCTCATAATTTTAATCCAGTTCATAGGAACCTAAGGAAGTATAACTTCATTTATGCAGCAGGAAATCATGTGCGTCATGCATTTACTCTTTTCCTTTTTCCTTTTAATAGTACAAAGCTTTACATAGCTTTATAGCTGAGGATAAAAAAAGTCTTAACATGGTACTGCATAAATCATGTGACATGTTCATGGCTCAGTGCCTTAAATGCAGGGTTGCAGCAAACAGTAAATGCGTATTAAAATAGGTTTAAATTTCTTTATGGAATAGAGCAGGAGAAAGCTTTCAATATTCTACATGGCACTCAAGTTATGGAAATTAAGGCCTCTTCAAAATTATTTATTGTTCTTTTGAGGGGAAAATGAGGCTGGACAATCTTGATATGGCCAGGTTATTTACTTACTTAGCATCTAAAATTGTGAAGTAAAGCCTTTAACCTTTCTGAAAAGATGAAATTAAGATCATCTACTTTGAAAGAGCTAATGCTTTTTACAAAAAAAAAAAAAAACTTTGGAGTTTCACATTTATAACAAATATTTTGTTCTGCTTATAAACTGTCATCCTAACTGACAAAGTGAAATGTATGCTGATAATGCTTCCTGTACAGAAACTGCCTCATCTTTTAATTAATTTGACCAAAAAGGAATGAAATCAAATAATTTTGGTACAGTTTCTCCAATCTCTTTTGCTGAATAAGTGCTATAAGACTTGCCATACAAGATCGGGCCACTCATGCACAGAACACTTTAACTGATACAATCATCGTAAGCATTCTCCAACCCAAAAAATAAATTGCCAGTTATGTAGTGCTGCATATACACAGCAAAAGCTTTTATCCTAGTCCTTCCTCTTGGTAACTTGTTAGCTTTTAATCATCCTTAAACTGCAAATTTCAACTATTTACAGTGGTCCTCAAGACTAAGGAAAAACATAGCTGGGATATAAGCTGTTCAGCAGTAAATTGCACAATGCTAGTCCATGGAAAAATGAGCGTTGGGGGGGACACGCCCCCTGCTATGTGTAGTAAGCCTGTCTAAACAATTAGGTAAGGAAGGAAGAAATATATTCACAATATTGTTCCCATTTACGAACTATGCAGAAAGAAAATGCTAACAGAGTTGCATATGGGACCATGCTGATGTTCACCGAAGCTAGTTCTTAACTTTGGTGGGTTTTTTTCTAAAGCGAGAGTTTTGATAGTTATGCTGCAGCAAAATGGAAGTAACTTGAAATAGTGATCAGCTTTTGCTTTGGTCTTTCCAGCCTTTTCATTTTGGATAAGCTTGTGCTATGGATCCCTATTTTCCTTGCTAACAAAGACTATAACTCATGGTCAATACATGTCTTTGGCTGGTTTAGTTGTATGCAGTAGGATAGTTTCACCAGTCTTTTTCCACATAATTAGTTTGTGTTCTAGTAGTTCTGCCACTCTGTCAAATACAGAATTGATTGAACATACAAGAAAAAAAGGTTTATATAGAGAGTAATACTCTTTTCCCAAGGACATGTATATTGTCAGTCTCTTAAAGTGTATATAATACTGTACAGTACTGCATAAACAAAATATTAGAAAGTTTTCTTTCTGCAGGCTTTTTAAGATCTACTGTCAAACATCTAAAACTCTGATAGTGATAGCAGTGCTTCAGATTAAGCATAGTGGTTTACATACTGATGAGTGCTGTATCTGCTTTTGTCTTCCATAGTTCTGTGTAATCACATAGCAGAAATGAGGAAACAAATAATGCTGATGTTAACTATGTTTTTTTTATTCTTTCTAGCTGAAGATCCATCTGAAAACTATGTGAAGCTAAGAGACTTTGTTCTTGTAAAGCTCTGTCAAGATTTGCTTTGCTTTTCCCCAGGGAAGTTAATGCAAGGCTTCAGTCAAGAAATGGTGATGGAAGCTCAACAAAAACTGAAAATAAATAAGGTATTAAATCAGAACAGTTGTAATTGGACATATTCTTACCAAACTAGTAGAGTAACAAGTTAAACATTGAGGTGGAGACTTGGAATTTACACACTCTGGCTTATTTCAGCAGATTTTTAGGATGTATCTGGAGAGGAGATACCTAGCTTGAGATTTATTTTTTTTCTTCCCAGATGCAATACTAGCTGATCCTGGTTCCGAAGGCAGTTCATTTTTTCCATTTACTAATTCCTTTCATTTTCTTCCCTAGTAAACAGAAAGCTTTAAATATTGTTGCTTCATTCTTGTATTTAGAACTTCCAGGGGGCATTGTGAAGGACAGTAGGTATATGGAGATTATTAAAATCAGCAAAGTAGATACTGTTTAGTAAAATATTGCTTAATATCACTCTAGTTCCACTTGTTCAGTTCTTTGAAGTATTTTTGGACTCTGGCTTCTGGACTTTCTGCTGCTTATTTACAGCAGGTCATTGGAGCACCTCTACAGCTTGTGCAACACTTCGAGAGGCTAGATACTGGCTGCATGGAAGAAAACTATTTTGAAGGGAAACCAAGAATGTTTACTCACTTAACTCACCAAGTAGAAGGATAGGTTTGACAGGCTCTGTCTGTGCCTCTGACTGCTTCTGTTAAGCTGGGGAACTACTCTAATATTTCAGTTTTTCTCCACTTTGAGTGACCTCTTTACTCAGACATGGTTTTTATTCTCCTTTCTGTTCATTAGCAACACACAAGACGAGTTTATGAAATTCTCCGGTTGCGTGCAACAGATATGGGTGATGCAGAACAGTCCAGAAGCTATCGGTTGGACGTTAAAAGAAGACTGATTGGCCCCTATAAGGTGTATATGACTTAAGTATCATTTAATACTTATTTCAAGGCTAATTATACTTGATTTTACTTTCGTTTCCATAAGTGTAGTTGATGCCAATTATCTTGCCAATCAACTACTATTAGTTATGCAGTGTTCAACTGACATGTATACAGATGCAGAGAACATTCATACATAGCAGTGCTGAAGATCCTGTGTTTGGCTCCTAACTGTTTCCTGCCCAATTCCAGCAGGAAGTTACTACTAAGCTTATGTTATACAGCTGTAAGTGGCATTATGCCCAGGAAGACTTATGGGGAAGAAATGTCAATTTTTTTGAAAAGGTTAAAAATATCTTAGACAAGCCAAAAATTTGAAGAGAGGTAGATGCTCTAATACGTTTACACTGCAGACTAGATATAGTTTAGATTCCTGTTCTACTTGTTAGCTAGGTCTTTACAAAACAGCTTGCTAGAAGTAATCTAAGAGTGTCAACATAGAACTCCATGCAGATGGAATATAAAATAATTTCAGTAGTAAAGTTTAACCAAGTACTAAACTTTGTGCAAAGAAACTTTCTTAGTTCCTATTAAGTATGCTTTTCAGGGTCTTCAATATAGTTGGTCCATGTTGCATAAACTGACCTTTTGAGATACAGATAAAAAAAAATCCTGGTTGCTAATGGCATCAGTCTTTGACTCTTAAGAGTCAAAAGACCATGAATAAATCTAGGTTTATTGCTCTAACTAGCATGTTAACTAGATGAGGAACTCCTAGAAAGAGTCCAGAGGAGAGCAACTAGGATAAAGGGACTGGAGCATCTCCCCTATGAGGAAAGGCTGAGAGAGCTGGGCTTGTTCAACCTGAAGAGAAGACTGAGAGGGGACCTCGTCAACACATATAAATATCTTAAGGGTGGAAGTCACAAGGATGGAGCCAGACTCTTCGCAGTGGTGCCCAGCGACAGGACAAGGGGCAGTGGGAACAAACTGAAACATAAGAGGTTTCAGTTGAATATGAGGAAAAACTTTTTTACTTTGAGGGTGACAGAGCACTGGAACAGGCTGCCCCGGAGGGTTGTGGAGTCTCCTTCTCTGGAGATATTCAAAGCCTGCCTGGACGAAGTCATGTGTAACATGCTCTAGGAGAGCCTGCTTTAGCAGGGGGGTTGGACTAGATGATCTCCCGAGGTCCCTTCCAACCCTTGCGATTCTGTGATTCTGTAAGTACTCACTAAGCAAACCAAAACCCTGTTGGAAAAGTTTCACAAAGTATGAGAAGTACCTTGATTAGCTTGCAAGCCTTGCTAAAGCAGCACTTACCCTGTTACACAAAAATAGCAAAACTTTGATTGTACTCATGCTGGACTCAGGGGGACTATTAGCAGAAATGAGAACCCAGCACTGTATTAAATGCTTGCCTGATCTGGAGATAATACCATGTCATGCTGAGTGGTAGGACCTTAATCAAAACACTTTCTATTCTCTTTTGTAAGTATCTTTTCTCATTTGCTAAATTTCAGTCTGTGTCCACTACAAGTAAGGCCATGATTTTTCAGCTAACAGGACTGTTGTATGGTTTCAGTTCATTAACTCGGCACTGAAGTCCTATGGGGGAAATCCAAAATTCCATAAGCAGCTTCAGTTCTACTGTTTCTAGCAATTGTTTCCACTTCGGTCTTTGCATGCAATAAATACATTAATAATGAATGGATTTTGTATTGCTACTCCAGAATATTGCATTTTTCATAATTCACTTACTTCAATAGGATTCAAAAGAATCCTTAAAGCAGCCGATATACTTTACTTGATTTTAAGTTTCATGTTCTGAGATACAGCCATCTTGTTTATGGTAGTTCTGCCTCATAAGTGGTTTACTCATGCACTTGTTTTAAACGCTATTTCAAATAAATTTTAGTTATGGGGCTGTTTTCAAAACCTTTTCAGAACTGGTATTAAGCTAACTTTTAATAGATACAGTAATTTGGGGGGGAGCAAATTTTAATAAAGAATCAGGAATATTACTGCAAACTCTAATGCTGCTGCTATTTTAATATGTAAAGCACTCAGTAGCTTCATTTGAACAGTGCTCTACAGACATACAATAATTCTAAATTGTCACTACCTTAATTTAGTAAAAATGGTATTGCATCTTATACCTATTTTCTGGCGAACAGAAGCAGAAATAAAACTGTATGCAGAAACCCCAGATGAAAAAAACTGTAATATGTCTATTCTCCTTGAAGTCTTTACATTATCAAGGAGGCTGTTGCTGAAAATATGGAGATTATTATATATATATGTGGCACTACTAGATTGGAATGACTGGCACAGCCAACTATGTTGCTGTCTGTGTAAGTACTACTAATATAGGAAATAAAAGATTTGGTATCTTAGTGAACAGGGTATCACAGAGGTAGTTCAGAGGGTGAGCAGCTTGTGAAATTTCAGTTTCACTGTGGCTTATCCATTTCTGAAGAACTCTGCTTTTTATGCTCCTTAGTGGGCTGTGCTGCTAGACAAGTCTCCTTGATCATGTCTTTGCTCTTCATGTCATCCCTTTTGGAAGTAAACACTGCTGCTGTGCTGCTTTTATTAATTGTAATGCTTTGTTTGGGTTTGCTACTTTAACAACATACACTTTTCTGCCCAGCCCAATAACTTGCTCCCAAAGAATCCTCTTGAAACTGCCCAGATAAAAGGTCACTCATTGCAGGTTTCAGTCTCTTGTGTACCTGGATATGCTGGTAGTATATTTGGAGCCAAATGGAAATTGAAACAACTGGTTATCTGAAACATGCAGAGGGAATTTGCTTTTTACCTGGAATCTGGAACTTGAGATAACTTAAAGCTACAGTATCAGACATAACGGGCATTTAAAAGCTGACACCTTTTTTTCAGAGCTAATATTTATAATCTTTACAGATGCTCCTGTCAATTACCCAGACTTCGAATTAATTCTAGAATAAGGAGGTTTTAGATTTTCTGCTAACAGAAGCTTCCTCAGAAAATACCCATCTCTATTTTTGTTTGGGTAACTCATCACATGTTTTGAGTATCTCACTCGTTTTGACTAGATAGAGCTAACATGAATCTAATATTTGAACAGCTGTGCTGCTTTAGACATCCTTTCTACAAGGAAATGTTTCTTGATTATTGGCCAGAAATGTGCCTGGAGGCCTCATCAGGACTCTGACACTGAACCTTTTTTTCTGTCTTGACCTTTGCCAATCTGTGGGAAATTATCAAAGTTTTTTTCATCTTACTCATTTACAGTTTACTGTGGTCTCCACTCCTTCCTCTTGACCCTCAGCATCAATCATAGAAAGAAAACAATTTTTCCATTAAGTGTAAAATTAAATAGAGTACAGAAGGGCTTTGATTTTGAGACTGATGGCAGAAGTAGAATTGTTTGGGAAAATTTTGTTTTAACAAACTCTGATTCCATAGGCATTGCAAAGACTTATTGATAAAATGCCAGGCCTACATAATGCATGTATGTGTTTTTTTTATAAAATGTTGAATGACATTCTGCTTTTAGAAAGCAAGGGAAGACTGAAGAATGGAAAGTAACTAAGGAACTTAGTGGTTCAGAAATAGGTATCAGCTGTATAAAAACATACCTGGGGAAAGGAAAAACACCTCAAAATACTTTTGTATTTAAGAAACAGGTAAAAATCACATGTGACACAGCAAGGGGAACACCTCATCTTCTTGCTGTACAAATAAGTTTATGCTTGTAAATACTCTTATTGCATTTCAGTGCTGTTACTGCTAATCCCTGGTAACTCTTGAACAATTTGTAAGAATTCCTGAAAAGTTTTCGGTGTATAGGAGACTTAAAATTGATCATTTTTTTTTTTAATAGTCAGGTACAGGGAAATTAGTTGGCTGAACAGCCATATAATGGGTCATCAGTGTGTTTAATGTCAGCGTAGAACTAAATATCCTGGTCAATTTTCTACAGTCTATTTTTTCATGCCATACCTCTTCAGTAGTAGAAGTACTGTTAGACGTAATCTGTTTGGTTAAAGACAAACTTTGAAACTGTTTTTCACTTCACTGGTTCATTGGTAATACAGAAACTATGACACAGAAATGATGTCCTAATCGAACACTGTTGTTTTTTCTTAGGATTAGGAATGCCTTAATTAGATACTGAAATTGAATAAATTTAATGAAATACTATATTCTTGATGATTATTGGTTGTGTTCAAACTACTATTTGTTTGATTGCTTAGAAAAAGCAGAGAGAACTTGCCAAGATGAGAAGGTGTCTAAGACCAGAGGAGCTGACAAATCAGTTGAACCAAATAGACCTAAACATGCAACACGAACAGTTAGAAGAGAGCTTCCAACAACTTGTTTCAGATTACCGAAGAGTCCTGGAACGACTTGCACAAGCATGAGGATCCTGCCTGTACGGGACAACTTGCAAATTTCTATACAGTGTTGTAAAGCACATCCTTAATTGCCACTTAACTGCAAAAAAAAAAAATCTCATGTGACGTTTTAATCACATTAAAGGTGACTTGTGTTTCTGTGCATTTTGAATATTTTCTATTTTTGTGTTGTAGATTTTTAAATGTACTTTAGGTTTGGGGGCACTTATTGCTGAAATAAACAATGTAGATTCTCAGATGCAGTATCACTTCAATTGTATGAATTTTCTTTTACCCTTCTCTTTTGCCTCAAGACTTAATAGATACCTGAATAGCAAGTTAATACATAAATCCATAAAGCCATATAACCATTGCATCTCCCTTAAATCCTAACTTGATTCTTCTCAGGCTGTTTTAATTGGATCCTATTCTACTGTCTAAAGCCTGTGCACTCCAGTTTAATGTTGTATGAGCAGGTTACAAGGCTGGTTTTGTGGTCTGGCTGGCTTGCTTCCTGAGTACAGGCTCTTTACCCTTTCCTAAAAGAGGATCCTGCCCCCATAAGCTATCAATCAGACTCATTCTGCTTAAACCTCTAAAGGGCCTTGAGCATATTCTTTTTCAAACCCCCAAGTTTGCAGGTTCACAATTTCAGGAAAATACCTCACAGCTGGGCAAATGGCCAAGACTGTGTAGGGATTCCGGAAGCACTTCTGCGTTAGCCAGTGTAAGAAACACACAAATCTATAGGAAGCAAGTGCCTTTATACAGTTCCTTGACTCTGTTCTGCTATGCATTACTTATCAGGTTTGATGTCCTCCTGTCTCTCTCAAAGGAATAAATTACAGTATCTCTTCTTGTAAGGTCAGACTTCAGAAATTATTTGTCTTGGCCTGTAATCAAGAGGATTTAATCTCAACAAGGACCATTGAAATTTATTAATCATGTTTTGTGGTCCTAATGGGATTCAGGTCCAGCTTTCAAAATTTGGGTTTGTAGATTGGTGGTTCTCTACTACCATCTGATATGATGTAGAGAAAAAGTTTAATGTTTTCCAAATGTTTAAAACCTGTGGATTTTTTGTGTTTTCTAGTAAATCCTTCTGAGAATTTTTATTTCTTCGGCCTAGGCTATCTTGTCTGTATTATATGTCATTAATCTACTGTAGTCTCTAAATCTTTTTATACTCAATAATTTTAAAAGACCTCTCCTGATGGTAGTAGTAAGCCTGAAGGCAAGTTGTGGGATTTGGGGGGCTGCGGTGGGTACTTTTGTTTGCTTGATTTTGGTTTCTTATTGCACGTTTGGGTGTTGACGATAAGCCAGAAGAGGGACAGCTGAACCAAAGAACTGTGCTTTAATTTGGTTTCTGCATAGAGGTCCAGGATACTTCGTGTGCTTCTGGGGAAGTCTAGACTAACACTGCCTGAGCTTTTGCATTACTAAGGCAGAAGCCACTCATAAAGAAGCTTAAGCCTTTTAAGAAACCTAGGACTAACAAGAAAAAACACTGCCTGAGGGGCTGTCTGCCCACTTCGCATGGTTGAACGTTGCTTCCCTCTTCGTAAGTTACTTTTCGGGGGGGGGGGGGGCAGTGCAAAAAGGCAGATGAGTCTGGCATATCTGTTCCTTTCATCCTTCTAGTACCCGATATAGGAAGGGAAAGGAGTTCTGACTGCTATCAGTCACCCCCAGGTTATATGGATGTCCCAAAAGGGCTGAGAAATGTCATGGAGTGTAGGTTTGATGCTAGAGGTAGTGAAAGCTGCTGTATTCAACTCATGGTGCGGGATGCATATGAAAAACTACCGAGCCAAAATCACTGTCCTTAGACAAACAATGAACCTCTCACACAGTGATTAGGGCAGATTAATTTTTTCATAACCTATTGGAATATTTTTTTCCTTTTTGTGTTGACACTGTTGGAAGAGGTGAGCTAGTGCTTCCAGTTCCCTTAGTGGTGAAGGTGTAGTCTTAGGCTGAGCATGGTTTTTCGTGCCAGTATGGGCTGGGACCATTCTAAGCTGCTGGGATGCGTCTGTGGACAGCAAAACTTAGGACCTGGTTTACAAGAACCATCTTGTTACTAATTCTTGGCACCAAAGGTATGAATAAAGAGCCTCTTGGAGATCTAGAAACTGAATCCTGCCGTCCTGCAGCAGATTACAGCTTCTAGGACAGCACTGCTGCTAGGAAAGACAATGTGAGTGCTCCCTAATCCATTACAGTTAATTAAGCTAATTATCTGAAACAACCTTCATCGGCAAATTAAACTAGCCCTGCTGACTTTGCCTGAAGTGGTCTAAGAAGTGTCTGGGCTATCCTTTCCCTTGGCACAGAGAGAGAGAGGTGATAATCTCCTGTATAACAGCTGGAGAAGAGCGACAGCTCTGCTGATGCTACGGTTTAGGGAGCATACGCCAGTTCAGTTCGTCAGGCTTTGGGGGTGAGTCCATTCGAACTAACTTTTTAGAGACTGAGCATTAATGGTAAAGTTGACTAAACGCTCAGGTTACAGTGGATGCTACTAGACAAACTCCTAGCTTTCTGGCTTGCCAGTCTGGATATTTCGTTCCATGGTTTTCAACAGGGTAACAAATTCCACTTACAAGTGAGCTGTGGGATTCTTGTCTCTGAAGTACACACAGCAGGCATTCCCATCATTCAGCGAGTCACATTTATGAAATTAAAAAGTTTAATACTGTTTACAGAAGATCAGTAAGTTTTGTGTAACTCCTGTTTATATTTCTGTATTAACATAATTACGAACAGGGACCTCCTACTATATTTCAACAAATACTTAGCAGTGTGTATAGAAAATAGCATAGCTGTCACTAGCATTGGCTGATGTTTTCATGCTGAGAGAGGACCTGTGAACTGGTAAGAGCTGTCTATATAGAACTGCAGTTAGATACTGGGGGGATCCCATTCTGTGGATCTGTGAGCTGACAAAAGAATACCAAAGCTTAGTAGCAACTTTTCAGCTCTGGATGTTAGGAATGTAGGAATTGGGTAGCTGAAGCTGAACACTATTAGAGTCCTCTCCTATTCTGGGCACAATATGACATTAAAGTAATCCCAGATAAAAACTATTTTTGTTCAAACATATAGTCTGTTATCCTAGGTTTCTTATCTTAAGCTGCTATTGTTCTTCTTTTGTGTTATTGCATACTAGCAGGAACTTAGAGCAATCACTAATAATAGGGTTACATGATTTATTACTTTTTTCTGCAATTTGATTAAATCCAGATTCTTCAGTCACTTCACTCAAAAATCAAGTGAAACTTTGCAACACATATCAATACAGCTTTTGAAAGTTTTGTGCATTTGAATATTCTTTTCAGAATTTTCATAAGATCTGTAAGTATATTTAAAGTTTTTCATTGTAGACACTGCTGGCATGAGGCTGCTGGTTTGCCCTTCCATCACTTACAAATCCAGTCATAGCAGCACTGAGTCTTCTTTAAGAAAATTCAGTGGAGTATCTAAAATGGTGAATTAAGTTCAACCGGTAGAGACAAATTTTCTTTCCATGCAAAGCTATTGTCAATGCTGCTAATCCAAGATTTTGTCCTAAGAGGTAAATCAAGCTCTAAAAACGTTTATGTTTAGAAATGTGGGTCAAACTGTTCCCTTTCACGTATTTTTAAACATAAAAGTTACCTACTGCAGATACTAGGAAACAACAACTAGCTCAACAGCCAATAACCTGAAGAAATACAACAGAAAAGCTATACTTCCAGAACTCAGAAAGCAAGCTACCTGAAGCTGCTGAAGGGTTTGAAGGACACTTTAACTGCTGTAGTAGGGGGAATAAAGGTCTATGTAGCTGAAGCAGTATTTTGGGCAGTAAATGTCCATGCCTCCTATGAACAAACACACAAAGCTGCGATGTGGCAGTTGAGGCAATTCAAGACTGACCTATTGTCTCTCTCTGCAGTGTCAGCAGGAGGGTAAGCAGCCCATAATGTCTATACGAAGGATTTACGTCTGCTTATATAGATCATTTTTTCAATTCCTTTTTGTCTCTCACTGAGACTTTGTTGCTCTTTATGCTTTTCCTTTATCATATTGTATGACTGTCACACACTAGAAGGCTTGAAAATCTTATGTTGCATATTTTGCCATTTTACCTTTTCTCCCGTGTCAGTTCTGACCTGATTTCATCAGTATCAAACTGCTAGAGCTAGAAATACCTGTTATATTTGTAAGCCTATCCCCTAAAAGCTTGGATTCTCAGCTTTCAGATTGAAAAATATTATTCTCTAATGCTACTGCTTTGTGAAACACTGCTTGCTAGGATAATTTGGACTTGAAGTTGACAGAAAGACAGCATTGTAAAATATAAAAATCTGCATCTCATAAGCAAGTATCTGTTGCAGATATTTCGGTTTTCTCAAAAAAATCAACTTAAAGCCATGGCACACTTTTTTTTCCCCATGCCATCAATATTAACAGCCATTTTACACTGCTAGTTCTTTCTCCAAAGATCAGAAAGATTTCAGTCAAACCCCAAGTTATAGCTATTAAAATGTTTCACTTACAAAAGGCTGTTAACCACACCGGTGGCAGTATTTGGAATTGTGAGGCTAAAAATTTAGTGCAACCAGTAAAAATGGAAGGCTATTACACAAAGCAATGCTACTAGATGCAAGCTCTGCTCAGGCAGGGCATGCTATCTGCCATCGTACGGGCTAACATCTGTGGAGGGAAAATTGTAGGAATGGGCTTGCCTCCCTATCACTCAAATCTTTTTTACAATGTAAAAAGAAAAATAATGCAAATACCAGTTTCTACTCAAAACTACTCATTCAAATACATGCTTACTAGGTTCTTTGTTCCTTGCCATATAGCCTTCAATATAAGGCATTGCAAGAAACAAGACTACAGGCTCTGTATCTGAGTCTCCTGTTAGACCCGTAATAGTACAAGCAAGTGTAAAGGATCATTAATCTAACAATTTCCAGATCTCCACATTCAATATATTTTTAATTCTCCAGACTAGAGAAGCAAAGAGAAAAAAGGAAAAAAAGATGTCTTCCTTCTGTTCTTCAAAGCTCATTTCAGATATAAGGCTCCCACCAAAATTGAAGGAATCTCGGGTAATGATGCCTGGGGGAGAGCGTTTCAGAATCCCCTCTTGGCCATTGCAAAAAAATCTATACAGCCGGAGCAGTACTGTGTGCTTTTTTTCCCAAGAGTAGCACTAGCTTCT